AAGAGAAAAACAAAAAGAAAAGAAACTGGGTTGTTGTCAGCACTTGTCTCCCCTAGGACCTCTGCATTGCTGTCAGCCCGTGTATCCCGCTGGGCCCCTGTATTCCCGTTGCACAGATGACAAAAATCAATGAGCTGTATCTTTCCATCTTCTAGCGAAGATTCACTCTCGTTTTGCACATTCGAGAGTGAATCTTTCTGTAGCCACCATCTTTTTTCTTTTCTTCTTTTTTCTTCTTTTCTTTTGTGGAAAACGGCCTGGCCTTCCGACGTGGATGACTAGACTGCAGTTACAAACTCTGCCCTGCGACAACCACGCGACGGCGGAGTTTGACCTGCAGTGTAAACTTCAGAGGGGACTAGACTCCAAAACAGCAGTTTGAAATGTATCCGCGCCCTAGTCTTCTCAAAAAAAAAAGTGTACAAGCAAGCGGCAAAACACTCTTTTCTTGTCCTGGTTCTTCGTTTTTGCAGGTCTGGGAACGGCTTTTTTTTTTTTTTTTTAAATACAATGAGGCTGTTTTATTAGGGCCCAGTGCCCAAGGCAAAAATACAACGTAAGTCCTTCGGGACATCCGTTAAAATTGGACCCTGCGCAAGGACGACGCGCATAAATCGAGAAATGGTCCAAATTAAAAATATATATATATATATACAACGTAAAAGAGCTGCAGATTCAGGGGTCGCAAGGTCTCCAATCCCGCTTCCTTGAGTGGAGCCCCTCCCCTGTAGAAAGAAACAGTCTACAATTTCCAAAAGAAAATCTTAATAAAACCCCACTACTGCAAAAACACAACCCCCAAAGACGTTTCAAGAACACTCGATGGTCTTTGCCATTGTAATTTGTTACGAGCAGAGTGGAGAAAAATTAGGACTTCTCACATTCTACCCCAGGTGGCAAGACGGCAAATGGAGGCAAAATGGTGCAGACCCTACAGGTGGGTGAAGTTCTCAGATAAGGGTCAGATGGTCCCCTCTAAGCATCTGTGGGACGAAAGTACGCAGAGAGGCTAGTTCTCAACAGTAATTCAGACAGCCTATCGAGACTGAGAGGCTTCCAAGTAAGACCCTAGTTTGGATATGTAATGATGCCAGTTATCAAGTTCTCACGGTGTTTGCCCAGTTTTGAGTGTTGCAGTTAAAGGACGCTGGCGGCTGGACCTGCTTTCCAGCACTGTGCCTGCCCTGGGAAATGGCCCCAGGATTCCAGTTTGAGATGTGGAGGGATTCCCGGCCTCCATTGTTATTTGGTTTAATACTCACACTGGGACTTTTTACTTTATTTTTGGATGTAATGGCAGCCAGATTCACTCAGGTCCGGCTGTAGTGGTCAGATGCTTTCAAGGTAGTGCTGGTGTGAGCATGCCCTTAGGTCGTACTGTCGTCATGCGTGTCCCCATATAGTACCCTGTTGTTTTTCAGAATGCTCCCTTGATGCCAGGTGATCCATGTAAATGGCCATGTGTGTTCCCATATATACCTTGCCGTTATCAGCACTTGGTCGTACTGTGGTCAGACTGCGGTTGTCTTCATCTCACCCGACGCACCTTTCATATCACGGACCGCCACCTTCACGCGTCCACTGGGGTGCCCAGGCAAACGGGTTCATCCCGAAAATTGCATGTCCCACAGGCCCACAGGACATGGACAAGTTCTTGTCCGCCAAAGCGCCTTCGCACATCCGCACCCAACACCGCAAATTCTGACACCCGGCCCTCCTCGCCTAAGATGTAAGGGCGGGTAAGTGTAGGGTCTTCCTTATGGGTTGTGGAATGAAAAAAATAAGAAGTTAGGGTAAATTAATCACCCTCGACCAGTTACGGCGCCCTACAAATGTAAGGATTTGTAAGTGGTGTGGAATGAGGCCCAGAAACTTTTAGAAGCATTTCTTTTGTTTTTTTCTTTATTCATTTGTTGTAAATTCTTAATTCGGAATCCCCCTAAAGTGTGTCACCCCATGGACACCGAACTCTGCTAGTGGGACCCAGCCCCAGAGCATGGGCAGACAAAAGAAAAGATGATTTTTTTTTTACCAAGAAATTTGTGATATACTGCAGTAATAACATGATGTGGCTGGGCTCCTCACAGTCGACCTGGGAAGAACGAGTACTGGGAGCACTACCCAGATTTAATTTAGCTTAAACCACCAGTACTTGGCCCATACATCGGCCGCTGAAAAAGGAGTAGAAGTCCTACTCGGATGAATTGACGCGCCAATGTATGTGCCCATTCGTATGGGCCCATTCGTTCGTCACTGACGCAGCTTGTTAACCGCCGTGACTTTAGGAAGTACTCAGTCTGGTGGTTTAATGGGACCCAGTCCCTGGGGAGTCGAGTCTGTTGCTGAATCAGACAAACAACCAACAAAAGAAAAGAAAGTATTACAGCGCGTGAAATGATAACTCAAAGATTCTTTGTGTTGTTGTTTCTTCCGTGGGAACACCACCCTGCCAGCTCAGCAGGGCGGACCGAAGATCCTGTTGTTTTTCCTTCCATGGGAACACCGCCCTGCCAGCTCAGCAGGGCGGACCGAAGATCCTACAGCATACCCCCACTCCGCTACAGAACACTGGAATCACGTACCTTTCAAATCTGGACAGGATGGCCTTTCAGGCCTTTTTATTATCATTATAGTATTAGGGGGAATCCCATAGCAGCCAGCCCAAGTTCGAGCCTCTAAATGTGGGAACATGCAGGGGCTGCACCCAACCTGCAGGTGGGCGATACGGGCCAGGAGTCAGCTGGTAGCATCAGGATTGAGTTTCTCCGATGGGCCAGTTGCTGCGCCTCCCCTCCGGTCTGTGCTCAGTATCGCTTGGGGGGACCAACGGTCGATCTCTAGGTGGCGGGAGCCAAGCTTGCCCAGGAAGGTACATGAGGCCAATGGGGATTGAACCCAAGGCCTCCTGAATGCCACTTCCATGTCTTTTTTTTTTTTTTTGAAAAAACATCTCGGGAGCCTACTATTGGAAGTGATATGACCATCCCCCAATAGTAGGCCCCTAGTGGTAGATGGCTCCAATCTATTGGTGGGGAGCGGCACCTTTGGAAATAGGGTCCAGAGTCCCACTTACAGTACTGGAGCCAGTCATATCAAACAGTCATATCATGCGGAACATCATTGATTGCCCTCTTCAGAGGGGATTAACTGTCCACCTATTATAGGCGAGGTCATATCATCCCTGTGACTCCAATTGCAACTGGCAAAACCCATACAGAATTACCCAGACAATCCTTAAACCCCCTCCCAGCCTAAGGATGCTGGTGACATTGAGGAAGCCACTTGTAGCCTTACCCTAAGATGCTCCCCTGCCCAAGAAGTTTGCATGTTAGATCATGTGACTTGCAAACATGTCAACGGGCATTTGTATGTCAGTTCATGTGATATGCAATCATGTCACTGTCACCCTGAAATTGCCTGTCACACGAAGAAAAGGGGACAGCGAAGGGGACATCAGCAGCCTTTTCCCCTCCGCTTCGCATATCTGCCGAGATGGTAGTTGTTGCAGGCTTGCAGCAACGTGTGCTGCCTGATCAGTAAAAGCGACATACCCATCCTGACTCGTCAGTATGTATGGTTTATGTTTGATGTGTTGAGTACATTTAGCAGCAGTGCAACCTATTCCCTGGGCGCCCTAAAAGATAAGCAAAGCATGCAGAGTTGGCGGAAACCATAATCAGCCCCACCGTCGTCTACGTCCTCATCCCGACCCTCCCTACAAACCACTGCCCAATCTCCCGACGCATCCCCAAATTTAACAGCTATCCATTCCCGGGGATGTTAGCCCTCCCCCCCCCCCACCTCTCCCCGACTAACTTATACCCAATCTTTCCCTTTCCCCAGGCACCCAGGTATCAATATAGCAAAGATGGCAGATGAGGGCAGCGCGAACGTGAGGCAAAGGAGCATAACGAGCATGGCCTAGGCAGGAAAACACACATGCAATGATCTCACCTCGCAATCCGTATCCAATCGTCGCGGCCTTCTGGGAGAATACAGCATCTAAGCGATGCATATCCCAATCCTGCCGCCGACCACCGCGGGGGCCCATATCCACCTTGCCGTACGGGTCTGAAACCCCAGCGGCAGCCATGTCAGTCATCTGCAGGTCCTACATGTCAGGCCAATCCTGCCTCCATCCGCCACGCAGGGTCTCATCCTGCACACCCTCAGGGGCCTCAACCTCCCGAAGGTTGTGCATCAGTGTTGTGTCATTGAACAGGCAGCAGCAGAGCGTCGCTTGTGTTGTATTAGGGCAGCCTTCTTCCACCTGAGAGTGGTTGATAGTGATGGCCGCCTGTTGTTGTGCGAAAAGTTTTCGCAGCTGCTCCAATAACATGATGCACTCTTGTGCCAGTGCATCATTTCTCACGTGTTCCTCATCAAGAGTGCCAGGTAGCGAGGAAACTATTGCTTGCAACGCGTCCCCCCATCCCTCAAAGGTTTCTTCTGCCTCTTGTAGTATCTCCCGTGACAGGCTGTCTTGTGCTTGCAGCATCATCACAACTGCTTCGTGGATTTGTTGCTTGTATACGCCGACCATGTCTGCCACCGATGCCATGTCCCACCACGATGATGAGGACACCTCCTGCTCCGGAGGGGGCTGCCGGCCAGGCCATGCCTTACCAACTGAGCTAGGCTGCTGGATAAATACATATAGAATCTTGTGTTGGTAGATCATTTGGTTGTTTCAATGTGTATTTGATATATATATATATATATCGTCACAAATAGAACTGCCCGGTAATATATATATCGTGTTTTTGTTTTTCTCTTTGGAAACTGCCCTGCCAGCTAAGCAAGGTGGATTTGGTGAGTAACGTGGCGAGGCTGAAGTCAGGGCCACTTTCAAAACTAGACGTGCAAAATGAGAATGAATTGTCGGCCAGAAAATGGAAAGATACAGCAGTATTATCTTTGCCTTTTTATCTACGTGGTGAGTAGTGTGGGGAGCCCTCCCCACACTAGTGTCCACATACAGAAAAAGACAAAAATTACGGCGCTGTATCTTTCGATGTTATAATAGACGATTCGTTCTCATTTGTACATCTAGTGAGTGATGGCTCCGTCCAAGAAATCACAGGAAACACTTCTTTCGCAAACTCGTTTTGTAATACAATCTCACAAAGGTTATGCTGTACAGCGGCTCATCAGTGGCTCATCAGTGGTTTGGTTCCGTTGAGTTCAGGTTGGAGAAACTACTTTAAGTTTTCAGAATGCTCTGGAATCTTTCACCCTATGGATTTCCGGATATTTCAACAACTACGTGCATGGGTCTTTTGTAGACAACCTACCTGGGGTCGACAAAGAATCAAATCACACGAGGAAAAAGAAAAAAGAAAAAAGGAAAAAACAAGGGGGGAAAAAGAGAGGGGGGATCAGCCTCCTGATGAGTCGGTGAAACTCC